GCTGGCTTGTTTCATAATTGCAATGAACAGTGTTTACTACTTTCCTTTTGTAGCAGCAGCCATCAGTGCAGCCATCCGAACAAACTTAGTTTGAAAGACTTTAAGGCTACCCATGAGAGGTGAAAAAGGCCATTGTTTTGTAGTCTCCAACGTGCGATGAGTATAGGTGATGGGTTCTTTCTTGTCATCACAATGCTGCAATTGACTCCAACGACGGAGCCAATGAGTTCCTCGGAGTAAGGCTGTAGCACCTGGTTTTAAAAACAAAACTAGATACGCACCATATATGAGCCTAGAAAGTCAAATCTCACATAGAGTTGGTAATATCAAAAGACAATGCTCAATATATAACGTACTTAATATAAAGCATATAACCTTACTACCTTATACAGCAAACAGCGGCAAGACAACTCCGATTTTTAGGTGAAGACTTCAACTCCACAGAGATAACTGACAGGTTGATCACAAGTCTAATTCCGTCAAACTCTAGCAATCTGGTACCCATCCGGGATTTTTTCAAAGATTTAAAAAGTAAAGCAAGCGTAAGTACATGTCGTACTCAGCAAATATAATATGGGGTTCATGTGGCTCAAAAGGATGACACTGGTTTACTGTAGTTAGCTTTTAGTGAGTCACAATTTTAGCAATTGAGTGGCAACAAGTTTATTCACAAGGCCACATAAACACATGATCAGGTAAACATGAATAATGAATAGCATAAACAATTAACCATTAATGATCATCTATTCCGTAAGAGTTCCAAGGCTGCTCGTGGCCGTGAGCACGACTGATATACCAGTTTTACACTCTGCAGAGGTTGTACATTTTCACCATGAGCCATGATTTACCCTTTCACCCGAGGTCGCGAGCCTCTTAACCCACTACCAAGGAAGATCGGCAGGGTTCACTATAAAGCCTTTCAAAGGTTCATCCAACAAGTTAGGGCCGCTAAGGATTCCCCATCAACCAGTAAGATCCCTCCCCCAAGGTGTGACTAACAAAAAGATAAAGAAACCAAAGTGCACTCCCTTGGCAGGCCGCGGAATCAAACCAATCGGAGCCTCTCTTGCACCTTTCGGTAACCACTAACAAGAAAAGATCCTCATACTTAAATAAAGGCAGAGTCAGGTAGCACTCATGGTTGTACTGTAAGTCTTGGTTGACCACTTACAGATAAGTCCTTAGGTAGAGGCTTCTAGAGCACCATAATAATAGCCCAATGCTCTAGCCCTCTCAAGCCATGTTGCTAAAAAGCATCTTTTAGTGTTTATTGTATTTACCATTAGTCAAGTTACAAGATCATGGTCTTTAATTGAGCGCTAGCATTATACTACCTAAATACATAAACCCATAGGAATCAAGGTATAAGGTAACAAAGTACTAGGAAATCCTTAGTGGTAATCAAGGTAGACACATGCAGTATGAATTAAATGATTAAAGATGTATAGATCAATAAGGATAATCCTATGCTATACTTGACTTAAACCCTGATCTTCTTCTAGTCTAAACCTTTAAAGATCTGCTTCTTGATCACCAATGCAAAACTCACCGACTGGGCATGATCATAAAGCACCACATAAGCATCCGAACAGACATGCATAACATACAAATATAACTAAATTAGAGCAATACACCAATCAACAATAAATTTTTTTGAAAACTAATCTACGCATTGCTATGAGCACATAAACACGAAAAGCTCTCTAATCAGATCTACATTGATCAAGAAACATCTACCGGAAGATTTACTTTTATATAAGAAGAAGAAAACTATAGGCTTCATTTATTTTAACTATATAAAATCATATAAATAAGATATTTTAGAGATATATCCAAATGGAATTAAGTAAAGTTATATTTGAAATTAGAAAACTAAAGTAATTTTAATCATATTTTATTTATAAACCTCGTGGCATAAACATTAATCAAGTTAGGATTTAAATCATGAAATTCTAGATCGAGTTACATGGTAAACACTATTATAAACGCATGAATTATGTCGCTATGAATCTAACGCAACTTGAACGGATCAAATCGGAGCTAAAACGGAGATTTTATGGCTAAAATAAGATCAGCAGCACTTCTGTAAATAGCTGGAACTTGATTTTTAAACTTAAATTAATAAAATCGGATTTTAAACTGAGCTAGGGATAGCGGGCATGATAAAGAAGAAGTGCAATGGTTCTTTAGAAAAAGTGCAGAGACGGCGGGTTATATGATTAAAAATTCAGAGGACTCTTTAGCAAAACCGCCAACCGAAACAGTATGATTGAATATGAGCCGTTGGATTAGATCTAGACGGCTGAAAACAGAGGGGATCGCCAGCGGCACTATGTGCGGCGGCGCAAGGCCGGAGAAGCAGGGGACCTCACCGGAGTTCATCGATACGGCGACTCCGGGCATCATAGGCCGAACTGAAAGCACAGGGAGGGAGAGTGGAGCGCAACGAACTCGTCTAGGGGATCGGAATGAGTCGCGTGAGTTTGAGGGTGGCGCTATGCTCGGTTTGGTGGCTCGAGCTCGCCGGCGATGTCTCAGCGACGACGTGCGAGCGATGCAAAGCAAGAGAGAGCAAGAGCGGGGCACCGTGAGCCCACTTACCGACTTCCGAGGCTCGGCAAGCAGCTCAATGCGACGGCAAAGCGGCGGTGAGGTGGATCGAAAGCAACGGTGGCTTTTTAGGGTTTCAATCGACGACGGCGGAGCTCCAGGGCACGAGGGTTGCTGCGAGCTCGACTGAGGCGGCGGCAGCTGCGCTCTAGGGTTGGATACGGGAGCGGCGCACACACGGCTTCGTTTTATAGGGGTCCAGGCGTGGCAGTGGGATTTCCTTCCCAGGCGGAGTCCGCCTTGGAGACGGGAGGAGGAAGACGCGGCTGACAAGCGGACCCGGGATGGCAGCGGGTGAAGGGGAAGGTTCCAGGCGTCAGCGGAACAGAGAGAGAGGGAGACGCCCACGCGGGCTTGGTTGGACCAAGATGGCGCACTGGGCCAGCGGCAGAGGATGGGCCAGCGTGGGATCAGCTTGGGCCCGCGGGGTGGGGAAGAGGGGAAGGTGCTAGGCCCGAGGGAACGGGCTAGGCCTTGCTGGGCTGCTTGCAGCCATGGGCCAGAATGGAAGAAAGGAGAGTTTTTTCTTCTTTTCTGAATTTTCAAAGCCATTTTCAAAAGGAGTTTTAAATCAATTTGAATTTGGATGAAAACCACACAGTACAAAAAATAAATGTACCAGCATGTATGCACAACAATGTTGCTACATCCTATGATAAATTTTAATTTAACAAAAAAATATTATTTTCCTATGTTTCATGAGCACAAAAATACAGAATTAAATTATTTTAGCTATATTTCAAAAGGAGGAAATTTTAGGGTGTTACAAAGGCCCGCACAAAGTTTATGTTACAATTGTCAAAAACAATTTTGTTTCTTGTCAACCAGATAAACCAGCAAAAGACTGCTGCTCTTGTTAGTAAATTTCTCCGATAGATGTTGGGTTCAGTAGCAAGTACAGTTGGGACTTTGGATCGTACCGTGCTGATATGGTGTAGTTCTCACGTGTTTCGTGCCGCTTCGAACTCTCACTTTAAGGCATGAGTTTTTCTTTGGCATAAGCATGGTCCATGACATGTGGGTATGCTTTCGTGCTATATCGTCTGGTTGTTTTTATTTGTTTGTTTGATACTAGTAAAATATATTATATATATATATATATATTATTTTCATAAAAAGTTTAAACCATTGTCATAATCCATTAGAATCAGATGAAAGTTACTGTAGTAATAAATACTAGAAAGTTGTGTATCGTAGATGTTCTTATATACTTTTTTTTTGCGCTGTGCCTACACGGTGTGGTCCTAATTTTTGTGTGCAATGATGTGTTTTCATCGTACTAAAAGATCAATGCCATGATCCGCACTTAAATGGCACAACCCGAGTCTTACCTCTATTAGTGAGTATACGATTTAGCTTAAGATCTTTCACAACCAGATATTATTTTCTCCTACATACTTGAGCGTTTAGCTTTATGGAAAGCAAGCATAAATATTCATCTAATCTAGGTTTTTATAGGACAAAGTCTATTTTTGGTCCTTGAATTATCACATCTTAGCCCACAAATTCAAATATTCGATTATTTTGGTATTTCTAGCATTGAAACCAAAGAATTTTATCCTTCGAATTGTTTCTAAACCTGATTTTTGCTGATGTGGTGATGGTTTGGTCATGTCGAACGATGTGTTTTTTTTACATGCATTTGAATCCAGTTCAACAGCACAGTACAATACTTTGCTGGTGAAGTCCCCGCGTCAAGTGTTAACCAACCTAATCTATTTAGGCCCCATTCACTTGGCTGATAAGCTAGGCTGATTTATTATGAGAGAAAAACGCTGTTCCGACTAAAAAAACCACTGAAAAGTATGGATTATAACACAAGCGACGCACGATCTTCCGGCTTTCGGCTTTCGCCATCCCCGACGCACGATCTTCCGGCTTTCGGCTTTCGCCATCCCCGAAGCATAACGAACACATGCTCCCCTCACCAAATCCACTCAAACATCTGTCGTCGCCCGTAACTAACAGCCGATTGCAAGTCGTCGCCGACGCCGAGCCAAAGGTGACGAGGGAAAGCGAAGCAATAGCAGCAGTCCATCCAAGTCCAAGTTCCAAGCATGAGCAGGAGAGCAGTGCAGTGCACTAACGCTGCTCCCCACTGCAAGTTCGGCTGGAAAGCACTACTCGCGCTGCTCGGTCATCCATGGCGATCTCCACTCCCCCACCTGCCTCCCACTCCCACGCCTCCCTCCTTCCTCCTCCCAGTGAGCCCGTTTGGCCGGGCTCCGAGCGGCTCCGGCTCCTCTGACTCCTCCTGGTTCATCTCCTACAGCGACACTGTTCACCGATGCTGTTTTTCTCTCTCCTCCTTTCCTCTCTCGCTCACAGCGCCGGAACCAGAAAAGCTCGTTTTTTTTTCTCCTCCGGCTTCGGCTTCTGCGCGCTACACCATGGCGACCTCCACTCCCACGCCTGCCTCCCACTCCCACGCCTCCCTCCTTCCTCCTCCCAGTGAGCCCGTTTGGCCGGGCTCCGAGCGGCTCCGGCTCCTCTGACTTCTCCTAGTTCATCTCTGCAGCGACACTGTTCACTGAGGCTGTTTTTCTCTCCCCTCCTTTCCTCTCTCGCTCACGGCGCCGGAACCAGAAAAGCTCATTTTTTTTTCTCCTCCGACTTCGGCTTCTTCGCGCTACAGTTGCGCTACAGTGCGGGAGCCCGGCCCAAACGCGCTCAGTCACACTGACCAGTGACCCCTTCCTCTCCTTCTGTCTCTAGCTTCGACATTGCCAGCCACCCCTGTCCACGCCGCCGTGACAAGTGCCACAGACTCGCGACACGATGGCTCCCTCCTCGCCTTCCCCTCCGAACGCCACCGCCCCCGGCCCTGCTCCTCCTGCTGCTCACTTGCGCCGCCGCCAGCATTGCCACCCTCGCGGCCGCGCAGCCGCAGCCGCTGGCGTCGTCGCAGGCCAAGGCTCTCCTCCGTGTGCGCCGCCTGCTGTTCTACCCGCCGGCGCTGGAGCCGCTGCGGGGGGCGCCGGACCCCTGCGCGCTGCCGCCCACTTCATCCCTCGCCGTGGCCTGCGAGGGCGGCCAGGTCACGTCGCTCTCGGTCCGGGGCGACCGCGACCGCGACCCGGACGCGGCGTGGCGCGCCGCGCTCCCCGCCAGCTTCTCCTCCGAGGCGCTCTTCACCACGCTCACCCGGCTCCCGGCGCTGGCCCGCCTCTCGCTCGTCAGCGTCGGCGCCTGGGGCGCGCTCCCGGGCGCCAAGCTCCGCCGGCTCCAGGCGCTGCAGCAGCTCAACCTCAGCTACAACTACTTCTACGGCGGCGTCCCCGACGACCTCGCGCGGCTCTACTCGCTGCAGAGCCTCGTGCTGTCGTGGAACTGGCTCAACGGCTCCGTGCCGTCCCTCGCCGGGCTCCAGTTCCTCGAGGAGCTCGACGTGTCGCACAACCGGCTCGGACCGGCGTTCCCGGACGTCGGGAACGGTCGTGCGGTTGGTCCTGGACGACAACAACTTCACCGGGAGCATCCCGGCGAGGGTGGTGAGCTCGCTGGGCCAGCTCCAGTACCTCGACGTGTCCGGGAACCGGCTGCAGGGTTGGATCCCTTCCTCCATCTTCGCGCTCCCGGCGCTGCGGTACATCAACCTCTCCCGCAACCGGCTGGCGGGCCAGCTTCCCGCGACCACGGCTTGCGCGGACGCGCTGGCGTTCGTCGACGTCTCGGCGAACCTGCTCACTGGGGCACGCCCGCCGTGCATGCGGGGCAACTCCTCCGCGCGTACGGTCCTCGTCGCGGGCAACTGCTTCGCCGACGCCAAGCAGCAGCGGGCCAGCTCGTACTGCAACCCCGGCGCGCTGGCCGCCGTGCTGCCGCCGCCGCAGGGGAACGGAGGAGGAGGAGGGGAGGGGAGGGGGAAGGGCCACGAGATCGGGATGGTTCTCGCGATTGCCGGCAGCGTCGTTGGTGCCGCATTGCTGATTGCGCTCGCCATGGTGGTGGTGCTGAGGAGGGCGAGGAGGCAGCGTCCGGAGGCGACCATCCTGCCCAAGTCGCCCGCGGCGACACCGACCAAGAAGGCGGATGGATGGAAGGCTCCGGCTAAGGCAACCCAGATGATTATTACTCCTGCTGATAAGAGTAAGATGAGAAATTCATTTGCATAACGGAAAAGCATAGTTGAATTGATCGTCTCAGTTCCTTTTTTCTTCAGTTATTAGTGTGATTCTTAGCTTGTACTAGTATATTTAAAATGAAAAGGGAGCACAAGGACACATGATTATGGGCAAATTTCTAGAAATGAACGGGTGATCTATGATTAGTGGTGCAAAGGAACAGTATATAATCAAACCACTAGCGCCTTTCAACATCTAGTTGCTTTCTCCCATTTTCATATGCCTTTGTTTTTAATTTGGTGAATAAAGTCTACTCTCTTTAGTCAATGAATTGGGAAACTTTGCTTGATGTACTATGTCGATCTTACTTAGGCCCTGAGCTTTTGAAACATGGGATGATGCCATGATGGATCTTTATTCCTTACTTCAGAGATGACTTTGAGAAAGTAAAAGGCTTCAAAGTCAATCAACCAATAAAAGGAAAAGAAAACAATGAACAATTGCTTTAACAGTAAATCTAATTTAGTAATATTAATATTTTTGAAGTTTTCATTTCACGTTCTAAGGGCGCGTTTAGATCCAAAAATTTTTGGGTTTCGGCCACTGTAGCACTTTCGTTTGTATTTGGCAATTAGTGTTTAATTATGAACTAATTAGGTTCGAAAGTTTCGTCTCACGATTTCTCATCCAACTGTGCAATTAGTTTTTTTTTATTTTTGTCTACATTTAGTACTCTATGCACGTGCCGCAAGATTCGATGTGATGGGTACTGTGCAAAATTTTTTGGAAACTAAACAGGCCCTAATATGGTCTCCACTTTGACAGGACATGCATCACAAGCTGCAAGGGTGAATACACTGGAAGCTGCGAGTGTGTACACTGGAGGAGCTCCAAGAAGCAACTGACAATTTCAGCTCAAGGCTAGTCCTCTTGCACAGGTATGAAGTAATGGATTCCTTTAGCTTCGACTGCGGCATTGAAGGGCAATGAATATACAAATAATTGTTCCACTGTCCATCATAAATGAAGTACTGCTTACTCTGCAGAATGTTTTACTGTATTTGAGTAGTGTGATCGACTGGTCATGTGAGTTTACATTTAAATTAAATCATCTTCACCATTTTTTAAAAACAATGTTTAGTTCTGCTAGGATACTAGGCTACAAACTTCGCAAATGGTCCACTGCAGTAGGGACGCTCATGGCAGAGTACAACTGTATACTGCCAATTATTGTCCTATTGTGTTGCATTTTGGCTGCTTTAGACATTTGATAATCAAAGGCTTTGGGGAGGTTATTTAACAGTACCTTTCACTGATATATTATTCAAGCTTGTGTTTGGAGGTTTATCAACTTCTAATTAAACGGACAAAACATGTATCCAAATGGGAGCAAATTGAAATTTGTTCTAATTGTGTTGCATTTTGGCTGCTTTAGACATTTGATAATCAAAGTCTTTGGGGAGGTTATTTAACAGTACCTTTCACTGATATATTATTCAAGCTTGTGTTTGGAGGTTTATCAACTTCTAATTAAACGGACAAAACATGTATCCAAATGGGAGCTAATTGAAATTTGTTCTAATAGTCACTATTACCTCTGTCCCAAAATATAAAGGATTCTGGCTATGTCCTGGACATGAGCATAGCCAGAACCCCTTATTTTGGAATGGAGTTAGTAGTATTTATCAGTGTCTAAGGCCACGTCTGGTGGGTCTCTGGCCAGCTCCGGCTCCGGCTCTTCGTGCACTGTAGCAAGAAGCAAGAGTCGTTTTGAACCGCGTTAAACGGGGCCTAAGTGAACTTGAGGCTCAATTCACTTGCATATATTATTATGGTTAGACATATCTTACACATAGTATGTCCAGGCTTGCAGCCCTAGTGATTGATTGTTGTTTTGTCCAATTTATTCTGGGTATTATGCATACTTTGATATTTTGCATCAACAATTAATGTTGTCATGTTGGCCTTACCCTTCTGTCACATCCTTGTCATAAGTTGTACAGCTTTATGCTAGAAATATTGTGAAGACTAATTTCGGTTCTTTTATATGTGCCTCGCTTTTATAGCATTATAATGGTCAGCTTCAAGATGGTTCATGAGTATTGGTTAGATGTTTGAGGCTGAAGCCGAAGTACTCCCCAGAGCCTTGTCCAATATATGGAGATTATTTCTAAACTTCGGCACCGTCATTTGGTCAGCATCATTGGTCATTGCATTGTCAGTGATCAGGAGAATCCTAATATTGCCAGCTCAGTATACCTCATTTCTGAATGTGTAACAAATGGATCTTTAAGAAGTCACCTTACTGGTATGGTACTTACAGTGAACGATGTCATGCATGTAGTTATATAACTGAATACCTGCATGACTCCCAACTTATGTTTTGACTGATTTTACAGAGTGGAGGAAACGTGAAATGCTGAAATGGCCACAACGGGTTTCTGCTGCCATTGGTGTTGCGAGAGGGGTTCAGTTTTTGCATAATGTGACTGCTCCAGGGATTGTACAGAATAATCTCAACATAGAAAATATCCTGCTTGACAAGACCCTCACATCGAAGATCAACAACTTCAGTCTTCCTATTAGGCAAGTCTATGTGTGATTAGCCATGATTAGCACCTTCTATGTATACTTGATTGTATTCCTTGTATACCCAGCCATATTGGTTATATATATATGAAGGTCACCCCCCTAATATTGGGTGTGAGGTGTGTCTCTACATGGTATCACTATCAGCCTATCAGATCCTATTTTCCTGCCCCTTCCTCCCGTGCGATCTCTCCCTGCTCGCACGCGCGATCTTCCTGCTCGCGCAGCAGCCCAACGCGCGCGTCTTCCTCGCGCCCGTCCACCCTCACCGGCTGTTCTCCTCCCTCTCTCATCTCCGATGGCCTCTTCCTCCTCCTCGGCAACCAGTGCCGGCACCCTGCCCGTGACAGGCACTCCAACCATGCCTGCCATGACCACCGGCGCTGCTGCCCCGATTGTGGCTCACAACTACGCCACAGTCAATGTCAAGTCCCACATCCCATTCACGCTGGACCTGCAATCCAACTACTCCAAGTGGGCGTTCTTCTTCAAGTCGCTGTGCGGCAAGTTCGGCCTTCACTCGCACATCGATGGCTCTGCTCCTCCTCGTCCTGATGATCCTCAGTGGGATGCCGCAGAGTGCTGCGTCCGGGGCTGGATCTCCGGCTCCGTCGACGACTCCGTCCTCGACCTCGCCATGGACGGTGCCGATCCCACCGTCCGTGATCGGTGGGTGGCCATTGAAGGGATCTTCCGCGCCAACCGGGAGCCACGCGCCATCTTCCTCCTCAACGAATTTCACTCCATGGTGCAAGGTGACAGCACCATATCGGCGTACTGCCAGCGGCTGAAGATCAAGGCCGCCGCTCTTCGCGACGTCGGGCATCCTGTCCAGGACTCGCAGCTCGTCCTCGCCCTCCTTCGCGGCCTCAATCCTCGCTTCTCCAACACCGCCGACGACATCGCCAACTCCGTTGTTCTTCCCACATTCGCGAGGGCTCATGACATGCTGGCCCTAAAGGAGCTCCGTCTCGCCAATGACGAAAAGACGGTCGCCAACACCGCCCTCCTCACCACCGCCGGCTCTGGCTGCACCAGCCCGGGCGGGTGCCGTGCTCTCGCTGCCACAGCCACCTCTGGAGGTCCACACAACCCACATGTGACTGTGGACATAATTGCAAAAATTTGCAATATGTGTGGAGACTTCAGATTTGCGAGTGAGGGGAAAAGTCCAACAGAAATGAGTAAAATCATCAAGTAAAACTAGATAATATTGATACCCGGATACACTTGCAACCGGGGATGTCCATACATCGCAGTGAACAAGTTCAAAGGGCATAGAAGTATGTGTCTCTACACTTCCAATGATATCAACTAGCAAGAACGGCAAGGTGAGTTTAAATGATTGGTGAAGTTCCACATTTGCCTGCCTGATAGCTAAGTTGTAACTGTTCCTATCTTACAGATTTTCTCGGAGACCCCATTTGCTGTCCATGAAGATAATGATATTGGCAGGTAGGTTTTCCCTATCACCTTGTGGAAAGAAAGCGACATCTCCACATAATAAACTAGAATCGTATCTAGTGATGATTATTAGTATATGAATGAACACAAGCGTAGTGATTGGTTGTTACTTGTTAGGTTACCAATCAGTTTTCAGAATGAATTAGTAACACAATTTTCTTGCATTGAATAAACCAACCTGATTCTCTCTGCTCTCTAGTGCTCACAATGCGGAACAAGGTGACAAGCAAGACATCTACCAGATTGGCCTAATTCTCCTGGAGGTGATCACAGGCAAACCAACAGGGTCCCAAACCCAACTAGAGGCCCTCAAAGCTCAGGTTAATCTCAAGCTCTATTTCCAGAGAACAACAATGAGTTTGTATTTCCCACCAACATTACTATAACTTTGTTTATTGTGACGATTTGCAGCTAAGCGAGGCCCTGACTGAAGACCCAGATAGGCTGAAAGACATGGCAGACCCGGCGATCCATGGTACTTTTGCAGTGGACTCCCTGAGCACAGTCGCCGAGATAGCCCTCAACTGCACGGCTGCTAACCCAAGCGACCGGCCATCCATCGACGACGTACTCTGGAACCTGCAGTACTCCATGCAAGTGCAGGATGGGTGGGCGAGCAGCGAGAGCTTAGGCTTGAGCGTCAAATCACAGGCTTAGATAAAGGCGCAGTGATTTTGTTCCTACAAATGATAATTACGAAGCTCTATGCACCATCACTCTGCCTATGGTTTTCTGTTGCGGAAGAGAGGTCTTTGGTGTTCTCTACTGTGTATATATATGTGGACCTTTTTCAGGACTGTTTTTTATGGTACCTGTAAATCTCAGGCTCTATTAAGCATCGACGCCATGAGGTTAAGCGTTCGTCCACTCACCAGACATGTGCTGGCATTTATGCAGCACACAAGCAGTAGTTAAACTGGGAATTATAGACTGAATTCGTTGAAACAGACCCCTCAGCTTTGAGTTTCAAGGTTAGCAAAAACTGAAAAAGATTTAACTGTAGGCGTTTGGCTCATTGGCTGCGCATCTCCAATCTTTTTGTATAGCTTGAGCATCATATATCTCAGGTATGTAGTGTCATTGCAGCCTAATTTTATTCAAAAAGAAGAATTGGAGACAAATATTGCATTGTAAGTTTAAGCTACGGTTCGATAACTGATAAACCAAGAGTAAGCTGGAACAAATCAACTACGAGACAAGGAGGTTCAACTACACATTAGCATATCCGAGGCACGTCCAGAGTCCAGACCAATCTTTATTGTTATCATGCGAGTTCATCAATCGCTCAGGCGTTCACGGTTGGTGCGGCGACGGCAGCAGCAGGATCGGCTGAGCCTTCTTCCGCTTTGGTGGTGGTAGCAGCAGGATCGGCTGAGCCTCCTGCCCTGTTCGTTTGGCTGATAAGCCATGGTTCAAAGTACTATTGACTGATTTGTTGTGAGAGAAAAATTGGCTGAAAAAGTATTGCTTATGAGCCCAGCGAATAGGGCAGGATCCGTCTTTGGTTCGCTGTAGAACAGCCATGGCTTCACGGACTTTGGCCCGGAGAACCTCCGGAGATGCAACAGCTGTAGGATCTCGACCTTGTCCATCTCGAGTAGCATCCCGGTCACTTTGCCAGCGTGATCATGCTCAAGCTGTTCAACCAGCGCGTACAACTTGTTGCCAAGAATCTGTACACGATGAAAAGAACAAAGGCCCATGTTAGCATGGATTTATGGCCTGTTCGCTTGAACTTATCAGTCGGCTTATCAGTTAGAATCTACAGTATTTTTCTCTCATAACAAAACAGCTTCAGCCGGCTTATCAGCTGGCTTTAATACCAGCCGAATAGGCCCGAGCAATGCTATAAATTAGCTCATGGTCGACATGGCTAAGTCGATCCAGAAACTTGTAATAATCCACTTGAAAGTTTGTGGATGTATTGAAAGATTTGAAGCACTTTAGGATTTGTGATGTGTTAAAAGACAGAACGGTGAATTCCATTATTACCTGCTGTTGCTCTGCCGGGCCAGCGGATGCTACAGCGGTAGTTATGCTGCTGCCATCGTGTTGCTGCGACACCATGGCACTTGGGAAGCCCTGAGGCAGCATTGCAGGGTAAGCCCCGTGTCTGGCATTTGGCATGTACCTGATGCTGTGATTGGCATTTGCGTGGATCATCTGAGTAAGAGATTGAAAACACTATTAGCAGAAGAACATGGAATGCCACACATGATTGGTAATAAAAAGAACGATGAATCCTATGATGATTTTAACGGACATACCGCCTGCTGCTGCCGATATGCACCAGGACCACCCATCCTCTGGCCAGGATACCTTGATCTCTGCATGTTGTGTGGCATCATAACTGGAGAGACAGGCCCCATTCCTGGAACGACGTGTTGCGGAAACCCAAAGACTGCACCCTGAGGTGGGATCTGACCAGGCGTAGGGTGACCAAAATAAACCTGCTGAGGTCCGGCGTATGGAGAAGCTGCCATTGCCAGGTTACGTTGAGCAAAATGTGCCTAGCAAAAATGAGGTTAATCTCAACTTCCTGTTCATCGAACAAATTTTGTGCGCACGCAACAACAGTAAAACATTTGGAAAAACAAACCACAAGGTTACATACCATTAGCATGGCCCTTCTTTCCTCCTTAGGTTGAGCTAAACCAACATAGAGCGGTTTCTTTCCAACAATCCTACCATTCATTCCATTTATCTGACATGTGGTTTACCATAATAGATCTTAGAAACATCAAACACTAAGTCTTACAACAAAAGTCAATTAGTATCAACTTACTGCATTATGGCCAGCTTCAGCGATAGCAAACAACACAAATCCTGAACCCTTGCTCCTTCCTTGAGCATCAACCATGACCTAAACAATTATCAATAGCTCTAACACTCAATACATTGTATACTAAAAGTAGAAGTAGAACTTTTTTTCTTCTTCAGAAAATGCCAACGATCAAAAGAACAAAATAGAAATTTAGCAATTGAAATATAACAATAGAAGTACCTTGCATGAAGTTATCTGTTACGTGGCTGCTAGGATTGAGAGGGAGAGACGGCGATGGAGCTACAATACCGTGGGTACTATTCACGTGAGGGAGAGGGTAGGAACGGCTGGCTTCCAGGGGAAGTCAGCAACTTAATTGTTGCTTCTTGCTTGATTATAACTGATACAGGGTTCTCTTTTATAGAGATGACTGACTTGACCCCTAAGAAAATATCCTAACCGAATCAATCTAACATATATCTTTCATAACAAACCAAACCACATATCTCTTTCCTAACAAACCAAACAATCTAATCTAATTTGTTCACGCGCTACAGTACCGTGTGGACCCTTGGGCCGGCTCTACTTGCCATAACACTACTCCACCCCTCGAAGACAGCTCGTTCTCGAGCTGTGGCGATTGCTGGAGCGGAAGACCTTGCGGTCCAGAGAAGATCGCCATGACAGACCTGCTTCCTCCTCGAGGTGTCAAACTTGGCTACTCCATCTGATCTGCGTGGAATCGAATCCGCCCGGATCGAATCCATGGAGCGCCTGCACGTAGAGTCGATGGTGCCCTCCACGAGCAGCCACCCCGCTATGGGTGCAGCCGAGAAAGGTTGTGCCGAGGCGTACTCAAGCTTAACCGATGGAGCTTTGAAAGCTCGCTTCTTTGGCCGGTGGAGAATAAGCGCATGCAACGATGGTCTAGTGTTGGCCACCGCCGATGGATGTGTCAAGCGTGGCAATAGAGGCAGCGACAAAGCGCGCCATGTCCGCCAATGTCGGTGCATGGATGATCGCTTGCATTGGTGACACTAGTCTTGGTGGCGATGGTTGTTATAGCGGTGGTTGGGACTTCGCCGGAGTTATGGCGGCCGGGGCCTTCATTGGTGATGTGGCGAACTCCAACAATTTCTTGTCGGCGGCGTCCGAGCGCGCCGGAGTCTTCATTGCCCATCGAGGGCGACGTATGTAAGCGCACGGCATCTGTCTCTGCCGATTGCAAATGAGGAAGTCAAACTCACTCTTGTCGTGGCGGGATGTGTTGATGATAGGCGGTCCACGGGAGGATTTGCGGTATTCTTTGGACCTAATCTTGTTTCTTGGAGTGCTCGAAAACGCCTCGGTGTCTCGCTCTAGCTGTTGAGGCGAGTACAAAGCATTGGCTAATCGAACCGACGATCTGAAATGATGTGGATACAAAGGCTACTTGACTGGCTTGGAGTTCCTCGTTCTCCTATAGGACGGTTATGGTGTGATAATGTTGGTGCAAAATATTTGTCGGCAAATCCGTTTTTCATGCGAGGCGAAACATATTGACGAGAGATTTTCACTTTGTTCGTGAAAGAGCGAGGAAGGCACGATGCCCGCCTTGGATATTAGATTTGTCGATTGCGCTGGTGATCAAGTGGCGGAGACGGTTTTACTAAACCTATCTCGGCATCCAAATTGAGAGAGTTTAAGTTCAATCTCAACCTTGCCAATGGCTAAGATTGCGGGAGGATGTTAGAATATGCTATATTTAGGAGTTGGTATATTTAGGAATAGTTGATGACCGTGGATCCTATCCCGTGGCTATTCCATGTTTCTAGTTGGAGTTGGTTACCATAACAACTCCCCTGTTATGTGTGTTGTACTCTTGTAGATAGGGATGAAACACCGAGGACCTTATGAGGTATCTCGGGTACATATCTTTTACGGAGAACCTCCGGAGATGCAACAGCTGTAGGATCTCGAACTTGTAATTGTAGCATCTTTCTTGATTATAAGCGTGATCATGCTCAAGCTGTTTAACCAGCGCGTACAACTTGTTGCCAAGAATATCCTACACGAATCAATCTAACATATATCTTTCATAACAAATCAAACCACATATCTCTTCTCCTAACAAACCAAATAATCTAATCGATATTCACAATACTATAAATTAGCTCACAGTCGACATGGGCTAACTCGATCCAGAAACTTGTAATAATCCACTTGAAAGTTTGTGGATGTATTGAAAGATTTGAAGCACTTTAGGATTTGTGACGTGTTAAAAGATAGAACGGTGAATTCCATTATTACCTGCTGTTGCTCTGCCGGGCCAGCGGTTGCTCAGCTTAGTTATCTCTGTCATCGTGTTGTTGCGAACCATGGTTTGGGAAGCCCTGAGGCAGCATTGCTTTTTTTAGCCCTTCCAACATATAAAGTCTTATCATTGATGGCCTTTCCGTTGGCATCTAAGAATTGCGTCTAGAGCAAATTCTGGTTTTACAAAATTTATAAAATCAAAACATTTGGAGACACCATTAACATCCCTCATGACCACAGCACTTGTAATTCCACCAAATGGTGCGAACTCCTCTGAAGATCATCATCATTGAATTCAGTGCAAGTTCTTTATATATACATAACTGAGAACTTGACTTCTTGCCCTGGAACGAAGTGTTGTGAAACCCAAAGACTGCACCCTGAGGTGGGATCTGACCAGGCGTAGGGTAACCAAAATAAACCTGCTGAGGTCCGGCGTATGGAGAAGCTGCCATTGCCATTTTACGCTGAGCAAAATGTGCCTAGCAAAAATGAGGTCCAATCTCAACTGATTCATCGAACAAATTTTGTGGCACGCAACAACAGTAAAATATTTGGAAAAACAAACCACAAGGTCACATACCATTAGCATGGCTCTTAGTGGAGTTAGGTTGAATTAAACCAATGCCAGCGGTTTCACAAACAATCCTACCATTCATTCCATTTATCTGACATGTGGTTTACCATAATAGATCTTAGAAACATCAGACACTAAGTTTTACAACAAAAGTCAATTAGGCTCAACTTACTGCATTATGGGAGCTTCAGCGATAGCCTCGACACAAATCCTGAACCCATTCTCCTTCCTTGAGCATCAACCATGTGCCCTAAACAATTATCAATAGCTCTAACACTCAATACATTGTATACTAAAAGTAGAAGTAGAACTTTTTTTTCTTCTTCAGAAAATGCCAACGATCAAAGAACAAAATAGAAATTTAGCAATTGAAATATCCGGAGCAATCGAAGTACCTTGCATGAAGTTATCTGACCAAATTCTTCAAATAAATTTTTTAATCCCTCTTCATTTATACTATCATCAATATTCTTCAAGTATAAATTTATACCATTAGGCGATGTGCTCTCTGCCTTGAAATTTTGTTTTCAGAAGAGCTTGTCTTTCGTGAGCCCCAGGTATAAAGTCTTATCATTTAGAGCCACCGTTGGCCTTTTTAAGTTCAAGGGCAAATTCTGGTTATTCTAATGAAAATGCAAAACATTTGCGTGGATCATTAACATCCCTCATGAGCACAGCACTTGTAATTCCCCAAATAGTAGAACTCCTGGTGGATCTCATCATCCATTCAGTGGGCAAGTTCTGATCCATTTAAATCTTGAGATCTCTGTCCCGATTCACTTTTTCCCACAAACATTTCTCTGTCATTTGCTAGCATACCATTAAGTCGGTTAATTGCATCTTGAGCAGATTCCTCAGTCTCATATTGTACAAAACCATACCCTTTTGACTGACCAGCTGAATCAATGGCCACCTTGCATGATAATATGGTGCCAAAGGAGGAGAAGATCTCATACAGGTTCTTGCTATCAATGTTAGGCTCAAGGTTTTTTGCAAACAAGTTAGCGCGTCCACTTTTACGCAGGCTTGGATCCCGGTTAGAGAACATAGGCCCTATTCGCTGTGAGGAATTTGGAGGAATCTAAATGGTTTTGGATGAATCTGGAGGAATTTATGAGAGGAAAATACTATTCCAAATGAAAAAAAAACGGATTTAAGCCGGGTTTAAGGGCACGCGAACGGGGCCATAACCCGGATGTACTTTCCACTCAATGGGGTAAAATTCAAAGCTTCCAGTGCAGCTGCAAGTAATCATAATCCAAGTTATAATCAACTTAATTTATAGATATATTGATAAATATCATTCTATGCTTTTACATCAAAATTGAATAATATATCATATAATTGATAATCAAAGCTACGTTTTCTCAACCAAGAAGAGAGTATATAATTTATTCTAGCATAAATCACAGGCAGGAACACAAAGCTATAAGCAATTTGTAGAGTGTGAGCAATATGCAAATCTTCAATCCAAATTTCAGACTTTTCTAATTACAAGGCATATATATCATATAATTGATAATCAAAGCTACGTTTTCTCAACCAAGAAGAGAGTATATAATTTATTCTAGCATAAATCACTGGCAGGAACACAAAGCAATCATGGCAGGAACACAAAGCTATAAGCAATTTGTAGAGTGTGAGCAATATGCAAATCTTCAATCCAGATTTCAGACTTTTCTAATTACAAGGCATAGTCTTTAATGCAAAAGGAAGTAAAATCATTGAATGTACAACCTAGAAAACACAAGATCCATCACTTAACCTCTGGTTCCAACAGAATTTTTAATAACTACTCCCTCCGTCCATAAAAGAATGTAATTCTCATTTTCCGAGAAACCAATCAGTTTGAACTTTTGACCAAAATTATATAAAAGAATACTAATATTTTTTATGCAGCATTAATATCATTAGATTAGTCATAAAATATATTTTTATAATATATAAATTTATTTGAAGACATAAATATTAATACTATTTACTATAATTTTAATCAAACTTGGGCTACTTTGACCGACACGGATCCTATAATTACATTCTTTTTACGGACGGGGAGTAGATAGTTAAGATTACCCAAGCGAGACGCCGCTGACGATGTCCCGGCAGACGCGCACGCTCGCGAGGGGCGCGACCTGGCTGAAGACTGCGTGGAGCTGCGTCTCGTCCACAATCTCAGCCAGGTCGCCCACGTATAAGGACGCAATCGAGCCGAGCGGCGGCAGCACCGCTGCCGGCGTCCCCTCCGCTACGGGGACCACCGCCGCCAGTGTCGTAGACCGGGGCGTCGTCGAGGGGCTCGCCATTGTGATGAGCGGCCAAATAAGCTAGGATTCTCGGCGGTTGCGGCCTGCGGGCGCGCCGATCCCCTCCGATCCCTCGTCGGCGTCCTAGTCTCTCCTAGACTGCCTCTCTTTGCCTCAGATTATTTTTATTTTGTTTTTTCTTTTGATTTTCATGTTTTACTCGATCGGTTACAGTTTTATAGGGTTTCCACCAAAGCGCGCAGGGTGCAGCGCCGGCGAGGCGGGTGTGATCAGGACTCGGAAACGACATGGAGGGAGCGGGGCCCGGTTCGCATGACCTAGCACAGGCAAGGTGTACAGGGTCGTGGGCTGTGTGCAGCAGCAGGAGCACAGGCAAGGCTTGTTCGGTAGGACGCGAGAGTGATCACGTATTTGTCCCGTTACTTATCTACATGTATCTCTAATATTAGTCTATATCCGTGGATGATTTATATCTATATCTATATCAATATATCTGTACACCTCGTTGAGACCATAGCTGGCCTGTCTCTTTTCCGTGCACGTCAGAAGGCAAATTTTTGCGCAATCCTGTTTTTTTCGTTCATACGGTCAATGTAACACTCGTATGCAATCATGTTGACGAGTTTAAAATTGCAATGCATGTTTATTCGATGAATATATGAGTCTTGCATAACGTCTCTGTGAGAGACTTTCTTTGTCCACAAAAGAATGCAATTCTCATTTTTAAAGTCAAACAGTGTAAACTTTGACTAAATTTATATAAAAAAATAGTAACATTCATGATACAAAATAAGTATCATTAGATTCGTTATAGAATATATTTTATAATAAATTTATTTGGAAGACATAAACATTAATATTATTTACTATAAACTTGATCAAACATGAACTAGTTTAACCGGCACGTATGCCATAATTACATTTTTTTTGGACCGAGGGAGTAATGTACTAATGGAGTAACGCAAGCTATAGAAGGTGATCCCTTGTGGTCTAGGTGTTTTAATCTTTGAGCTGGTGTTAATTATTAAGTCCTCCTAAATTCTAACACCAGTGAGATCGTTTATGTACACTAGCCCAAAACAGCTCTTCACTGTCGGTTCAAAAACCCAATCACTGCCGGTTGATGAGGTTTTTCAGAAAATCAATTTTAGGCTGAAAAATAGCACTCTTTTTTAATACTGCGAGACATATCGGGCCACGCACGCACGCAAGTCATAAGTTACAAGTCAAGCGATTTTTCGTGCTTTACCAAGAGACCACACTGGACAGCCACACGCGCGCACAAGTCATAAGTTACAAGTCACATGATTTTTCACGCTTTACCGGGAGACCATACCGGCCAGCACATGCGGCTATCGGCGCTCGAACCCATGACTTTAGGCTTCACGTGTTCATACCCTAAACACTCCATCCATAAGACACTTGTGGCCATTTGGGATACTCGTCCTTCCCATTTTATGTTCATCTGATTTTGAAATTAGTATTTTGGACCCTAAACGAATTCAAATGAAAAAGTTGTCAAAGTTCAAAATTTTGCAATACATCAATGGTCTTTGTTTTGATGCTCCTGCTCCTGTAGTTTGCCCTTCATGGATAGTGTTGCAGTCCTACGTGAATTGGTGATGTGCCATAAAATCCCCAAACTATTAAGAGCATCTTCAAGAGTCTTTCTAAAGCTCACTCTCTAAATCATCATTTGGAGAGTTATTTACATAAAAACTGTTTTCTATATCTTCCCACACTTCAACATTTTTCTATACATTTTTTGCACTCTACAGAGCCATTCTCGTTTTCTATCTTTGGCAACAGAAAATCTGAAATAGAATATGGTTATATTTGGATGACCAATTGAAAAGTGTGTTGGAGGGTATTTTATCATCAAAATTTATATTTCTAGCAATTAAGTAGGATTTAGAGAGTCTTTTGAAGTTGCTCTATTACTGTGATTTGCATACAAAATTTCACCAATAACTTATAAGCTGTCTAAATTATTGGACGTGTTTAGATTGAGACCTAGCAGGCAAATGTCTACTAGGCAACAAATTCTGGCTCTAGACGTTTAAAATCGGACGCCCTCATGTATATTTTGGTCCTAGGCATCCAATATCAAACCTCTGGGAAGCTTGATGCAAAGCCTGCTTGGATCAACAACCTTTTGAAGTTTTGAACCAAACATGTTGTGCAAGAGCAAACATGATCTACGCTATAATTTTGCTTGGCTGCAGCTATGCCTTTCCAAATCCGAATAAAGGGGATTTGCTCCGGGGTACTTCCTTTCTTAAAAAAAATGACACGAATCATAATGCAAACAAATAATTACGCGCTTTTAGCCCGACGCCCCAACCCTACCCGCTTCTAGCCCGTAACCGGCCTATGCCAACCCAGCTTCAAAATTGGGCTATGCGCTTTGCCCGGAGTTTTTGTTTCCACACGCGTGTGGGCCGGACGCGGTAGCGCTCCACGTGGCTCTCCACAGCGGCGGAGCTCCAACACGAGTTATTCACGCCGTTGGCGTTCCACGGGCTGGCAGTTGACGGCGGCAGCGAGGACGCGCGAACGCCTCCTCGGATTGTTTCAATGGCTTCGCCGCCGTGTCTCCTCCGCCCCCGCCCACCGCCGTGCAGCCACCGCCGCCGCAGCAGGTCCCTCTACCTCCTTTCGAAACAGAGCCTGCACCTCGCCGTCCAGTGTTGGCGCCAGTGGCAGAGCAGCTCGTGCCGCGGCCGCCTGGGCCTGGTACCGGCCGACGGATGGGGGCAACGGGCTTTGCCTGTCACTCACTGTTCCTACGAAACCAAGAACGGATAATAGTCGTCTGCTGGCTATTTGTACTGAGGACGGCGCAGCTAGTTGCTCATCAATCCTGTTCGCACGAATACAGATAGATTTTGACCGAGCTAATATTGAAATTTAAATTCAATTTGTGGGTAAGACATAGACACCTGTAGGTTGACAGGTCGTAGTGAGCAGCATTTTGCATCTACCAGAAGATGCAAAGCGAACACACGGCTCATGTATTGAAAGAAAATTTTTCATCCATCAAGTTCCCCTAAAACGGGCTGCGAGACCATCCTGAACTGTACAAGAATCGCCTAACCAAAGCTAAGCTAGCCCCTGAATTATCAAAAACCTACTCCGCTTCCCTTCTTTTCTTCTACCTGCTGCAATCTGCGTCCCTACAACGAATTCTCGAGCTTCTTGCTCCACCAACGATGCGAAATCATCCAAAAGAGAAACCGGTCCAATGCCGTCGGTACGGTCACCCTTGCTGGCTGCCGGGCTTGATGAGCGGCTGCTGCGAGGTCTTTGCCCACTCCTCGGGCGGGCTCTTCACCTCCTTGAGCAGCGCCACCACCTCCTTCATCGTTGGCCGCTCCGCCGGCGCCGCGTTCACGCAGAAGATGGCCACGCCCAGCGTCTGCAGCATCTCCTGCACCAGCTGGTCCGGCATTCCCCGCAGCTTTGGGTCCAGGATGTTCACGGCCGGCTCGTAGCTGCCCATCTTCTTCTTCGCCCACTCCACGATGTGCAGGCTGGTCTCACCGACCACCGGCTCGATAGCGCTCCGCCCGCTCAGGATCTCCAGCAGCACCACGCCGTAGCTGTACACGTCGCTCTTCTCCGTGATGTTGCTCGTGTACGTGTACTCTGAAATGTATCACAGATATATGTTAATGATTGATTCTTTTGAAAATGATCATCCAGTCATATCTATGATCAAGCAATGTAACATTATTATAGTGCGTAAGAAACTATAGAAACAATATCAAGCCAACATATTCCAATCGACAAAAAGGATACTTGTGATGTGGGGAACTAGTTGGATGTGGACTAGAACAAACTTCATTTAGTGGCCCTGTTCGCTTTGCTGAAAAGCCACGGCTGAAAGTATTGTTCGTTGATTTGTTGTTAGAAAAAAACATTGTTCGTTCACTGAAATAGTACAGCTCATAAAACAAGCGAACATGTCCAGTGTTGAGACAGCGTGATCACTGTTACCAGCTTAAGCTACAAGCAACTCATGAAGAACAAGGTTAAGGTTGCTAGAAGCAACCACAGGTCAAAGATTCTCGCTTAGCAGCAGCATTACCAAAGAACTACTGAGTTGTGACATTAATTGGGGTTGCTGCTCTTCTACACTACTACAGTCTAATTGCTGAAGAAATAAGAACAGAAAAATGTTGATTAATAATACACCAAAAAGATTAGCTTATTACCTGGAGCAATGTATCCATAAGAACCGGCAATGCGTGACATGGCGTGATGATAATTGGGGGAGTTCATCAGCTTGGCCAGCCCAAAATCAGCCAAGTAGGCCTCATACTTGGAATCGAGCAGTATGTTGTTGCACTTGACATCCCTGTGGAGTATCGCCGGAACGCAATCATGGTGCAAGTAAGCCAGCCCCTGTGCTGTTCCAACGGCAACCTTGTACCTCGTGTCCCAGTCCAGACTCCTGTTCTCCTTCAGGAGCTGCAGCAGGTTGCCATTGGGAATGTAGTTGTAAAGCAGGAGCTTGACAGACCTGTTAGAGCAGTACCCAAGTAGCTTCACGATGTTCCGGTGCCTGATGTGCCCCAAAATCTGAATCTCAGCCGCAAAGGCGTCAATCGGCTCATCCTTGCCGGCCTTCCATAGCTTCTTCACTGCGATGATGTCCCCATTCGGCATCTCGGCTCTGTATACCACCCCCGAGCAACCTTTGCCGATCACGTTCTCATCCCTTAGGCATGCCAAGATGTTGTCAATGCTGAAGTTGAGCTTCTGGAATGGTGTAAACGTCCAGGGGTTGGAGAAATCATCACCGCCAGCACCTGACAAGCTCATTGCCTTCTGGCTAGCCAGCTTCCTGCTCCTGTTGATCAGAATCCAAACCACAACAAGCAGCAGCACAACTGACCCCAGAACACCACAGATGAGGATCACGGTCTTGACCGTCTTCAGGGCGGACCTGCGAACCATGTCCGCCGCACAGGAGTGGCCATCGTAGGACTCACAGAGGTTGGCATTGCCAATATAGGAGTTGGACGACAATGTCTTGAAGAACGGCGTCACTGGGATGGCGCCAGAGAAGTTGTTGTACGAGATGTTGAGGGATGTCAGGCTGGTGAGCTCACCCAGAACCGAGATGCTGCCGTAGAGGCCATTGCTCGCGAGGTTGAGTGACTGCAGCTGTGTCAAACCAGACATCTCGTCCGGCAGCTCGCCGACGAACCTGTTCGAGCTGAGGTCCAGGCTGATGCCCAGGCTCGACAGCGCGCCGATCTCCGGCAGTATCGGGCCAGAGAAGCTGTTATTGCTCAGGTCCAGCATTGTCAGCTTCTGCAGGTTCCGAATCGACTTGGGCAATGGCCCGGACAGATTGTTGCCGCTGAGGATCAGCTTGTTAAGGTAGCTGAAGTTGCCAAAGCTCGCCGGTATATCGCCGGTGAGCTTGTTCATGCTCAGGTCGAGCTGCTCCAGGTTCATGAGCTCCCCGAACTGCGGCGGGATGCCACCGGTGAAGCTGTTGTTGTGCACGTCCAGCAGCTCCAGCACCGTGATGTTTGCGAGCTCGGCAGGCAGCGAGCCGGTGAACCTGTTTGAGTACAGGTCCAGGAACACCAGGTTCTGCAGCTTGCCGATCTCTCTGGGTATCTCGCCGACGAGCTGGTTCTCACCGAGCCGGAGGCGCACCAATGATACGCAGTTGGCGACGCTCGGGGGTAGGGGGCCGGAGAGCTCATTGCCCAGGAGTAGCAGCTTGCTGAGTTTCTGCAGCGCGAACACCTCGTCGGGGATGCCGCCGGAGAAGCGGTTCTTTGACAGGTCCAGCGCGTACAGCTCGGTGCAGTTGCCCAGCGATGGCGGGATCGCGCCAGACAGCGCGTTGCCCCAGAGGAACAGCACCTGCAGCGCCTTCAGCTCTCCCAGCTGCGGCGGGATCGCGCCCGAGAAGCCGTTCTTGTCGAGCTGCAGCGCGGTGAGGCTGCTCAGGTTGCTGAGCTCCGGCGGTAGGCGCCCCGTGAGCTGGTTGTCCGACAGGTGCAGCTGCTCGAGCGCGCCGAGCCGCCCAAGCGCCCCGGGCACCTCGCCGGTAAGCCGGTTGCCCGACAGGTCGAGCACCACCAACGCGGAGCAGTTGGATAGCTCCGGTGGGATCTTCCCGGAGAGGGCGTTGCCCCAGAGGAGCAGACTGGTGAGCTTCTGCAGCCGCCCGAGCTCCGGCGGTATCGGGCCGGTGAGCTTGTTCATGTGAAGGTAGAGGTTGCGCAGCTCGACGCAACCGCCGAGCGCGGCGGGTATGGACCCGGACACGCTGGTGTCGTACAATGCCAGCGTCTGGAGATTGACGAGGCTGCCGAACTCCTCGGGGATGGGACCGGACAGCGCGGTAGCCGCGGCGCCGAAGACGGTGAGGTTGGAGAGCGCGCCGAGTGAGGCCGGGATGGGGCCCGACAGCGCCGGGTTGCCGCCGACGCGGAACTGCTGGAGCGCGGTGAGCGCGCCGAGCGACGCCGGGATGGTGCCGTTGAGGAGGTTGTCCTGGACGCAGAGCACCTGGAGCGCGGAGAGGTTGGCGAGCGAGCGCGGGATGCCGCCGGTGAGGTGGTTGGAGTTGAGGAGCAGGAACTGGAGCCCCGAGAGCGCGCCGAGCTCGTCGGGGATGTCGCCGGTGAGCGCGTTCGAGGACAGGTCCAGGACGCGCAGCGCGGAGAGCGACGCGTACGAGGGTGGGATGGTCCCGGAGATGTTGCAGGTGGAGAGGTTGAGCAGCTGCAGCGAGGAGAGCGTGGCTAGCGGCGGCGGCAGCGAGGACAGGTTGAGGAAGGTGTTGGGCAGCGAGAGCGACACCACCCGGCTCTGCGGCGAGCACGTGACCCCCTGCCACGAGCACGGCGTCGCGGCCTTGGGGTCCCACGACGGCAGCACGGGCGACGGCGCCCCGCCGGGCAGCAGCGACAGCAGCGCCTTGCCGTCCGGCGACAGCGCCGCGGCCGGCCCGACCGACAGCACCATAAGCGCGGCGGCGGCGACCACAGAGAAGAGCCGGGCCCGCCGGTGGTGCGCCATTATTATCGACAACCGCCTCGATCAAGAACCCGCCGCGGGAACCGGAAAAGGTGCGGCGACGATTTTTTTTTTCCTTCAACCGAGAGCGCGGCCGCCCGGCACGGCGAGGTCACGGCATGCGCGCGCGGCGCGCTCAGTCGCTTGCTACTGGGAAGAGCAAGGAAGAGCAGGACGCGATGGTCGCCGAGGCATGTGGGGGTGCAGTGGTGAGGTTCGCTCGGTCGCTCGCTTTCAGCAGCTGCCGTAGTTGCTTGTGCCGCACCCAACAAGCATATGGAGGCCGTGACTGGCGTTTCTCTCCAGCTCCGTCTCCTCCCTCTTCCTCACTTTAGTTACGCCGCCTGGCCAGCAAGGAGATGGATTATGGAGGAGTAGGAGTACTAGTACAAATTGGTTGCTTAAACCCTTGATTTGGGCTGCGTTAAACCCCGGTCGTTTTGGTCTTATCTGCGGTTCTTGGGAGATGGAGCAGTATTTAATGGGTGGCTATGACAGGTCCTCTCAACGTAGGTCCGGCTGGGCTGGCTGGAAGTGTCACTGTTGCTGAGTGAGCTTTAGTACTTGTTTTGTTCACTTGCTGCTTGGATTCATCTGTGCATCATTTATAACTAAGGGCTGTTTGGTTTCATAAGTTAGGTGACTTATTAAGTCAGGTGATTAAAAATCAGTGACTCATGTATATTTGTTTGTAGATGACTTATAAGCTTATTAAAGGTGTGGGCTCTATGAAAAAGGGTGACTTATAAATTTTAAGCATAGGTGAAGTAACTTAAAACTTATAAGTAGGGGTGACTTATAAGTTGATAGTGTTTAACAAAATAAGTCACTTTTTTCACTTTTTAACTTATAAATAGGTGACTTATTTGAACCAAACCCTAACTAATTTCCTCACTCCACCGTACTAGTAGGCGTTTGCAGTTCCTCGTGAGTTGAGTGATTTTTGCATTTTCTTGTGGCCTAGAAAGCCACTTTTCGTACCCGAAAACAGAAGTAAAAAGGCTGGAGTGCTGCACTATCTGGTGCATCCGTTTCAACACGAAAAGACAATGGAAATTGCAAGTTACTGCTACTATCCAATACGGAGTATGTTTATATATATTGAGTAGAGCTCTGCTATCTGATTCTTAACTCTAGTTCCTTAACTTATTCTGGTCGGGGCACAGAGAGGAAAGCAGATGACAAATGATTCTAGAGCAGTTTTGGTGAATATTTAAATAAACAGCAGTGAGGAACAAGTATTTCCAATGATAGTTTGGCAGATCTTCGCTCCCAACTTTTTCAGAGCGGATTATTTGATCTCTACTAAACGTATGATGGAGAGCTATGAGCTAAGAAAAACCTACTCTCCACCGATTTCCTCCGCTCTCCGTTCAATCACCACTAGAATCAATTCTCGCATCTCCCCACCCCGCTTCTCCACCATAATCACTCCATCAGAAGTGAAGCTAAAAACCATAAAGACAAGCTCTACTAAACCTCCAAACTACTCCCACCGTCTCAAAATAAGTGCACTTCTAAGCCTTTGCCCTTAGGTGAAGAGATCAATACTATACTGGTGAGAAGTTACATATATACCTCTGTAAAAATATAATCATTGCACTTTAGAAAGAGAGAAAATAAAAAAGACAACTAGAGTTAGGTTGTCTCATACCTAGAGGTATACTTATTTTATGATAAATTTTGAACTTTAGAATTGCACTTATTATGGACTTATCAGGAGCGGATCCGGCATCAGGGCGGGGTGGGCTCAAGCCGCCGCTACTGCTGCTTGGACCATGGAGCCACTCCTAAGTCTCTCATACAAATATGCACATATTCAAGTTTGGAAGGAGAGACTAGAGATGAAAGATTATGAAATAAGCCTCTCCTGCCTTATGTTCCTAGGTCCGCCACTTGGACTTATTATGGAACGGAGGGAGTAGTCATAGATAAGCCCCTCCTGACTTATGTTCCTAGATTCGCCACTGGGACTTATTATGGGACAGAGGGAGTAATCCTTAGCTCTAAGCTTTTAATGTAAATGAAGAAATAATTTATGTCCACTTCCCCTAGAATATGCCCCGTTCGTTTCGCTGAAAAAACAAGCCGAAATCTATTTGATTTGTTGTGAGAGAGAAAACATTATTCCGACTGAAAAAACAAGCTAAAAAGTACAGATTATAAGAGAAACGAACATGTGTACTCCCTTGTCCCAAAACATTTGATTTTATCTCATTCAAATTTTATACTAAAATATTCTCACTTCGTAATACACTTTTCTCAACTTTCAATATATCTTTTTCTTTTTCCGATGCATCTTTCAGTATATCTTGCTACAGCAGTAAGGAAAATACAGCTATTACGGATTTACCAGCTGTTACAGAGGGAGAGGTGGAAAGGGTGAAGATCACAGGGACAAACACGTGAAAACCGCACTAATGACAAGGCAAAACAGGAGGCTTGTGGATGGTGTGGGAAGTGGGATCGTGTCCGGGATCACAATATCCGCCATGTGATCACTCTCTCGTCCGTTCTCCAACGACGGGCCCACTCGTCAGCCTCTTCGGAAAATGGGCCCGTTCTGCTCTTTTTAGACGGTCTCCAACCGTCGAACCTAAATGCAAGATGCATTCGACGGTTTGGGTTGCGCACAGAAGAAAGGGTCCGGCACTTAAAACTTCTCTCTTCAACAGAGGATGCAAAAAAGAAACCCACTCACCAAACTCCGTCGAGCGCCGCCCGCGCCTCCATGCATGCGACCTCCCCTGCCAACGGATCTCCAACCGGCGTTCCCTTCCCCTGCCGCTTGCTTCTCCATGGCCGGTCGCGGACGTGACCTCCCCTGCCTCGACGCGGGCTCCGGTGGTGTGAGCTCCTCTCTCCTCGCTCCAATTCTCCATGGCCGGCCGTGGATGCGACCTCCCCTGCCCTGGTGCGGGCTCCAGCGGTGGCTCCGCTGCGGGCGCGTGGCCTTGCTTCGGCGGCGTGAGCTCCTCTCTCCTCGCCTCGATTCTCCATGGTAGGCGTGGATGCGACCTCCCCTACCCCGACGCGGGATCTAGCGGCGGCCGCAGCCCCAACCCCGATGTGGACGTGGCCCTGCCAGCGGAAGTGGGCGAGAGCTCTGACCCAATGCGGGTTGCGATTGGGTCGAGGAGAGAGACGACCGAAAGAGGACACATATCTAGGTTCTCTCGCTCCTTCTACCCAAAATAAGGACTTTTTTTTTTTTACCTACTCTATTGGATGACTTTTTCACTGTATAGGACACAAAATAGGTTTGAGTAGCGGTTTGCATAGCTTCTAGGAGACAATCTTAGGCTGGAATGAGATGTTTGGCATTGAACTGCTAGACCACTGCATACACTTCCCATCACTAGCACAGCGGGACACAGGTCACCAGTAATTATTGGTGACCAACGTTCGATCACATCGAAACATGGGGTGCCGCGAGCCAGCGCTGCTTTAGTAGTGGAGAATTATACTCCGGAGTACTAGTTTATAATTTTTTTCCTTGTTTTATTTGAACTCTTTTGGGAGTACTCCTACTAGTAGTAGTGCAAATGTGCGGCTCCGGGTAATAGGGGTCGTAAGTATCTGTTAAGCAGCATACAAGCAGTATTTTGATGCTTGTCAGTGCAGGTGTACGAAAAAGGGCACTTATTTGAAGCTAAATATTTGACCAAAGGACCATAGCATTTGATGCCCAGAAGTTCTTTAATACACTTTCAGTACCAAGAATAATCAAAAGGAAGGTCTGGTGAGCAGGAACCAGTGACTACGGAAAAGGAAAGACCACATGATACTACTACTACAAATATGGAAATGAGTGGGAAAAAGCTTATTATCATTTTCTCCCACTTGTATATTATATAATATAAAATAAAAACAAAAGCTTGCATCGGTTGCGATGGGCCTTGAACTAAACAGGCCCAACTGATGGACCAAAGCCCACCGGCGCCCGCCCCATAGGGATCGCGGTGACACGCAGTCCATGCCGTCCGACCAATAACTTAAAGCCGCTCGCTCGCTTATCCCCCTCGCCAATCCCAACAGTGCAAATCCCAAAAACTCGCAACTCTGCCCTCCAAACCCTAGGCCAGATCCACAGGCCCGTACCAAGAACCCTGGGGCATTTTAGTCCATTCGTACACGCCTCGGGTCAGAATCCTTGGGAAGCCCGAGAATTTGATGATATTAATTCACGTCTTGTTTAGTTGGACCCTAAAGTCTAAAAAGTTGCTACAGTACCTGTCATATCGAATGTTTGCGGTCTATGCATGGAGCATTAAAGGTAGACGAAAACAAAAACTAATTACACAGTTTGGTGGAAAATTGCGAGACGAACGTTTTGAGCATAATTAGTCCATGTTTAAACACTATTTGCCAAATAAAAACGAACGTGCTACAGTAGCCCCAAAATCTAAATTCACCCAACTAAACAAGGACTCAGTGTGTTCGGCTGGTGGATTCAACAGTAGATTTTAGATAGTTCTAAATAATTTAATAATATTCTGTGTGAGAGAGAACAAGCTGAAATACGCTGAAACAACCCAGTACATGATCAGCCGAACGCGCTGAATTGGGAGCTAGGCAAGCGAGCACTAGCAGTCTGCAAGCATGGGGCACCGTGTTTAAAGTAAAAGCGCTTAATGAGAGAGAGAGGGCAAGTGGGCAATGCAAATGCAAGCGGCTAAGTCTGTCTGCAACAGAAGATCTATTGCGCAACCAAATCTAAAATGAGTTTGTAAGGTAATACCTATAACCTCCAACATAATACTGTATGAAAGACCCATTTTAGGTGTTAAAAGGGCATAACCCAAATCTGAGTATCTTCTTTCCTAAAAACTCATTTGCAGAAAGAGTTGTCTTTTGGGTTTTGTTGTTGAAGAAGACAAAAAATAGGTATTGAATTATTTATCTGTAGTGCTACCTAAAGGACGAACGAGTCTTATAATTTGGGTCACGGTTGTTGGAGGCTGTCTCCAATAGGAGACCTATTGCGGAATCCAAAACCAAAA